CCCCCCCCAGCCAAGGTGCCCTGTGCAGCCTCGGGGGACGCCATTCTCTCCACGGCTGCTCGCCTGCTTGGAGGCATGGGACAGTCCCCCACTGTCCCCTCCCCTACTTACAAGAAGGAACGCAGGGAGACCCAGAGCTGTGTCCTCTGAGGCTCCCCTCTCCTTCAGCTTAGCCAGACCCCTAAGGTGCTAGATCTTCAAGTCAGGCATGGTAGGGGGTAAGTAAGTTCCAGAGGAGGGGAAGTCCCGGGGGAGCCCCTTGGTCATCAATGCAGACTGACCCCCCATCCCCTCAGGTCACTCTGCCATAAGCCCCTCTTCCCAGCCCTGCGCCATAAAGCCTAGAGCCCTTGGAAAAGCCAGTGCTTGTTTCTTTGTTTTTAGGACAGCTCTATCTGGCCTTGAACGCTCTTATGTAAACCTAGCTGACCACTGCAGTCCTCCCCCTTCTGTCTTCCAAGTGCTGAGATTATTGACAAGAGTCATCACAGCCAGCGCCAACACAGTGGTGTTCTTTTTGTTTTGGTTTGGTTTTAGGGCTTTTTTTTTTTCTTTCTTTCTTTCTTTATTTTTTAATTTTAGTGCTCTGTGTATGTGTGTGCACCTGGAAAAAAAATAGGCATTATGTAATGCAGTGCCTGCAAAGGCCAGAAGAGGGCGACAGATCCTTTGGCGCTGGAGTTACAGGCGGTTGCCAGCTGGCTGGCCTGGGTGCTGAGAATCAAACATGGCCCCCATGATTGCGCATCCAGGCTCCAGGGCTCCATGTGGCTTTTTTTATCCCGATGTCACTGCCATTTTCATAGTAAGGGTGTGAAATGCTCCCTGTCGTATCTGCTGCGTGATCCTAACGACACTGACAGGTTTTAAGCACCCACTGTGTGCTGGCCACTTTATATCTTTAATTGCAGTTAACTTTTAATATCTTTAAAAGCAGACAATAACATTTGGTTATGATTGTCATAATTAGCATATATTTAGCACCTGTTGTGGGTCTGGCCCTGAGTTAGAGTCAACTTGAGTCATCTCACAATTGCCTCACCTCCAGAGTGAGTCCTTTGATCTGCATGGTAGAAATGGCGACCGTCAGGCTCTTGCGGTCAGGTGACCAGCCAGCCTACCCAGCCAACTGAGGCAGAATTGGGGTTTTGGTTCAAAGTGGGTGTGTAGTTGAGCCTGTCAGGTTGGCCCTGCAACCTGGCCACGATGTACATCGTTAGGGCCTTTGGGAAATGGTCACCTCCTCCACCTTGCACCAGGCTTCCTTTGGCTCTGTGTCACCTGGCTCAGTGATTGATATTTTTTTGGAACTGTAGCCAGCCCCTGCATCGTCCCCCTGGGGACTGGAGTCTGCCTGGGTTGGAGCCCAGCCCTAGTAATTGATTGACCTTTGATGAATGTGTAGGCTGCGGTTTGAGGTGGGGCCTGGCCCAGCCTGAAGCTTCCAGACCAAAGGGAATCCACAGACCAACCTGACGTCCAGGCTTGGAGTTGGTGTGCACTTCCTTTAGACTGAGTTATCCTGGCTTTGACAGACACACAGACCCTGGAATTCGGATCCAGCTGGGGTCCCGGAAAAACGAGGGACATGTGGCTGCTCCCGCGCTGGAGTCTGAATCCAGGCTGGTACCCTCCTCAGTGGTCCTCCACCCCAATCCGGACCTGCTGTGATTGCTGAGCACATAAAAATAAAGTGGCTGGCACACAGCGGTTCCTTGGCAAGATAACTAAATCTCCCCAGAGTAGTGATAGCGGCCATGCAGAGCCAGCTACTTACTGTGTGGACTTTTTGTTGGGGCTTGGTTTCTCTGAGGCCATCTCCACTAACTAGGAGGCACCATGACATCTGGGTTTCTCAGCCCCACTCCAGTGCTGTCTATATTGGACCTGTGATGGTTGGTTTGACTTGGCACGGTTTAGAATCCCTGGAAATGGAATCTCAGTGAGGGATTGTCTAGATCAGGTTGGCCTGTGGGTGTGTCTGTGGGGGATTATATTATGCTAATTGATACGGAAAGCCCCAGCCTAAGAGGGCAGCACCATTCCCTCCCTGGGTTTGGGTTTTCAATTCTGTAAGAGTCTTATTCTGGTTTCCTTCCCATGTTGTGACAAAGCACCCTGAAGCAATCTGGGGAGAAAAGGACTTATTTGGCTTACACTTTGGAGAAGTCAGGACAGGAACTCAAAGAGGAACTTGAAGCAGAAACCGAAGATAAATGCCGCCTGTCGAAAGTGCAGCTAGCTTTGCTACGCAGCCCAGCACCACCAGCCCAGGGAATGGTGCCGCCCATGGTGGGCTAGGCCCTCTTACACTGATTAACTGTCAAGGTAATCCCCCACAGACAGACCTGCCGGCCAATCTGATCTGGGCAAACCCTTACTTGAGATTCCCTTCTCAGATGACTCTCGGCTGTGTCAAGTTGACCATTAGAGCCAAGTAGGACAGGTAGGGAGAGTGAGCTGAGCGATAGCAGACACTGGATCAGTTCACTCACCGCTGTGTGGGTAGGATGAAAGTGGCTGGAAGCTGGAACTGGAAGCTAGAAGAACCCTTTCTCTCCGAGCTGCTTTGTGCCAGGGTGTTTTAACATAACCTCAGAAAAGAGACCAGCCCGTTCTCCTTGTAGGGCACACTATACTGGGTACTGGAGGCAGCTTCCTTGGTGTCTGTAGCACCCATGACCCCCAGTTAAGACAACCAAAGATGTGTCCAGATGTTCCTTAAAGGCCCCACATCCTGCGCTGTGCTGAGGAGGAGCCCAGGCAGTCTGACATGAGAGCTATGACGTGCCATCTCTGACCTCCATTGGAGTCCAAGTTCAGAAAGTAGAGGAGGTTGTGATCCCAAGGGACAGGAGGAGAGGTGTCCTTGTGCCCTGCCATGGGAAAGGCAAGCCCCTCAGCAGACATTCCTGTCAGCAAAGGCTAACAGCGGGTACCCAGCACTTCACCACCAGTAGACGTTCTGCCGTGACAGGAGTGCCCAGCCGCCTGTGGGCCCTTCCTGCTGCAGATGGAGGCTGGGCTATGACAGCTCTTGCCTGCCTGCCTGCCTGCCTGCCTTCCTGGCTTCCCACCACATCCTCTCACACTTGCTCCACCCCTGTCCCTCTGCCCTCAGGGCCCACTAGCCTGCCTGTCCCCACCCAGCCCCCCTGCTCTGTAGGGGACACAGTGCCAAGTCCCATCTTTGCTGTGCTTCATTACTTCCAAGGCCTGACTCACTCGTGCATGAACTATTTTTACTCCTCACACAAATGCTCGCTTTGGCGCTCCCGACAGAAACCGTTCTGCAGGTGGCCACAGGACGCAGAAGGAGGCCGGGCACAGATGAAGAGATTTATAAGTTCATCAACCCGATGGACTTGGGATATTAACCCAGCTCCTTCCTTACTGATGTGTGACCTTGGGCAGGTCAGTTAGCCTCTCTGAGCCTTTGGTTATTAAGCATATTAAATCAAAGACAGTTTTCAGTTCCTGGGGGCTGATAGGTGCCTAAAGTTGGGTATAGCTGTGTGAAACTGGAGCGGGGCAAAGGGGGCCCTGAGCTAAGCAGGAAGGGGGCACCCGGTGTCTGTAATTGAGCACCTTTGTGTGCAGCTTGTCACCTACCCATCTGAAGGCCTTAGGTACCACACAAGACTTCCTTAGGCAGAGAAGCCTGTGTGTCACCCTCAGCCCCCATCCCCCCAGGCTGGCATCCCAGCAGACAGTCAGAGCAGGCATCTGTCACCCTGATAAGAAGACCTGGTAGACCTTGCAAGCAAAGGCATTGCTTCAGGGGTGGGTAGCGCCTCACCAGGAGATGGGCTGGAAGCCACCCCTGGCCACTCACAGCACAAGGAGTGTGACCGAAGGAAGGAGACATGAGGACCAGGCTGTTGGTGGCAGAGGAAAAAGAGAAGGGCGGACACAGAGGCCTGGTTATCAGCTGGTTCTGAGCCAGGCCACCCAACACCCCTGCTACTCCTTCCTGCAGGCTTCCAGAACAGCCTGTTCCCTGAACACACCCAGGTCCACAGCCCCTGGGTGACACGGCCCTGCCCCTGCCTCCCTCCCTCCCGGAGGCATGCTCCAAAGAGGCTGCTGAGATCCTCAGGATTCTTCTCAGGTCATTTATTCAACACTCTAAGCACTTGTTAGGAGCTTTTTACTCTCTCTTTTAGAGCCTGGGCATCACAAGCTGGAGCAGGAAGTGAGAGCCCGGGTGGAGGGCGAAGGGTGAAGGTAGCCACTGGTCCCAAGTCACGGGGTGTGGCTCAGTGCTGAGGGGAATGTGCAGCACAGAAATAAACAATGGGGTGTAATGAGGCACACCTACAGTCCCAACATGTGGAGGCAGAGGAGAGAGGATTGCTGAGTGCATGGCCAACCTGGGCTACATAGGGACTTCCGGGACAACTGGATCTTCGTAGTGAGACTGTCTCAAAAGGAGTAAATACTGGCGCCATCTTCCACATCCGTGCTATCCTCTGACCACCGGGAATGATTTTACATGTGTGTGCTCTCACATGCACGTGCGCACACGTACATACACACATGCACACACACAGGCATGACAGTTGGCAGTGTTTGGGGAGACATTTGGCTCCCACAGCCCAGGAGAGCTACTTCCATGAACATCCCCTAGTGCACAGGGCAGCCCCCACAGGGAAGAGGGTCCCAGCCCCAGCCCACAAGACTCTGCCACCTAACTGGAGCCCACAGATCAGGCCAATGTGAGGCTAGGGCGTCCCTCCAGTGCCTGGACAGGAGATGGCTGGACCCACAGCCGTGCTGTGAGCTCTTCCTGCTTGTTCATGCCACACTCTGTACAGGAGGCTGTGGTTTCCTCCCCCAGGCCTCGGGCTTGGGCCAGAGCTAGCCAGACCACGTGGTGAGGTCCCTCTCGGCTCCAGTGGGAAGACACTGAGCACTTCCGCTAACCCAGGCTTGTGGCCTCTCTGTATAGTCAGATGTGAGGTATGTCAAGACATCCCTACACCTCTCTGCATCTGCAGGTATGATGCCGGCAGGGATGGCTTCATCGACCTGATGGAACTGAAACTCATGATGGAGAAACTGGGCGCCCCCCAGACTCACCTGGGCCTGAAGAGCATGATCAATGAGGTGGATGAGGATTTTGACAGCAAACTCAGCTTCCGGGAGGTGAGTCCATCCCCCGGCTGTCTTCCCTCCCGCCTCATCCTCCCAAGTGCTGAGATTATAGGTATAAGGCATTATACCTAGCTGGGTTTTTTTATTACAATTTGGTCACTTTGTATACCCAGCTGTTTTAAATGATTTCTATGCGCTCAGCTGAGTTGTGGGAAAGGCTGGGCACTCTGAGGACCTGGGGTTAGAAGGGGGTTGCCTGAAATAAGATTACACAGTGCTTGGCTCAGAGGAAAGGGAGTGATGAGTTCTGCTGAGGGCATCAGGCATGGTGCTAGGTGACTTCCTATTCTCTGGGGCAGAGGCTATGGACCAGCGTTTAGGGAATGGCAGGAGGGGCAGAGGCTCACAGCAAAGTAGCTGTGGTTCTAGGCCCTAAACACATGGCATTGCCTCTATGGGGAGGTCCGTGCTCCAGGGAGTCCAGGCTCTTAGAGAACTGACAGGAAATCAAAGGAAGTAGGGGAGAGAGATGATGTCAAGGCCTTCTTAGGGTGTGTGTGTATGTGCGGGGTTGACAGGCCAGGGAAGAAAGTCCAAGTGTTCCACGGTAGTGGCTCGGGTCAGAGAGCATCTATTCCCATCCTTCCAAGACTTAAGCCTTTGGCCATCTCTGAGCCATCTTCCTACTGCATAATGGGAGCGCGGTCCCTCTGGGGCCTTGGGAATGCAATGCAGTATAGATTCGGGTCAGGGAACAGCAGGTAGCAAGGAGAGGCAGGCAGAAGCCAAGGGTGGCAGCTGTGTTTGTGCCTCAGCTCAGGGTCCTAACGGGACAGACCAGGAAGATAGGGGCTGCTTCCTGCCGGTGAGCACAGGGCATGTCTGCAGGGGGATCGGAGCTGAGGCCTGCTTGTGGCCAGGGGAGAAGGGGACGGGGAACAAAGGATGACTTTGCTCTCGGTGTGCCCGGCTCACCCTCCGGCCTTCCCTTCGCAGTTCCTTCTGATCTTCCGCAAGGCGGCAGCAGGGGAGCTTCAGGAAGACAGTGGCTTGCACGTGCTGGCCCGCCTTTCGGAGATCGACGTCTCCACCGAGGGCGTTAAGGGGGCCAAGAACTTCTTCGAGGCTAAGGTGAGGAGCTGAGGACTGCGGGGCCCAGCTGTGTGGCGGGCTGAGGCCTGGCACAGTCCCTCCTGACCCTGTGTGGAGGCTGCAGGGGAGAGCTGCCACTGAAGCTCTGTGGGGTGTGAGGGAGGCGGCCAGCATTGCTCCCCGGAGACCCCACCCTGCCCCTCTCCTGGGGGAAGCTGAGGAGCCCTCAGACCATCTGCACGTATAGCCTCCTCCCCGTCAGCACATGTGTGGATGGAGGAGACACATTTCGTCCACTGGCTCCTGAGTCCTGCTCACCCAGGACTTCCCCCATCACCGCCTTTCCTTATTTCTCTTTCCCATGTGAAGCTGAGACCTTTGCTCCCCTTCCTATCTCTTGTCCTTCGGTAGAGATATCAGGGTTCGCCACTGGACCTGTGTGTCTTACCTAGGACAGGATGTCAAGGGCATCATTGCTGCCTATAGAGCCCTACCCTGCTTCTGCCAATGAATACTCTGTCTCTCTCTCCGTGTGTGTGTGTGTGTGTGTGTGTGTGTGTGTGTGTGTGTGTGTGTGTCCTCTCTCTCTGGGAGACATGGTCTCATATAACCCAGGCTGGCCTTGAACTTCTGACCCTCCTGCCTCAGTCTCCCCAGTACTAGGATCACAAGTGTTCAGCTCGCTACCCAGTTCTTTGAAGTGCAGCTCAAAACTAGAATGTCACTCGTGCCAGGCGAGCACTATGCCAGCTGGGCCCCAGCCCCTCCCCTAGAAGGCCCTGTGGTCAAGCCTAGGCGGAGAGATGCCTGTGGCTCTCACGCTGTTGGTGAGAACGCTGGCCAGAAAGGGTTCCCGGGAAAGCAGCTCCAAGGCAGGGCTGATACAGAGACCACACCCCTGACCTTTCCCCTCACCCCCCAGGTACAGGCCATCAACGAGTGCAGCCGCTTTGAGGAAGAGATCAAAGCCGAGCAAGAGGAAAGGAAGAAGCAGGCTGAGGAAGTGAAGCAGCGCAAAGCGGCCTTTAAGGAGCTGCAGTCCACCTTCAAGTAGCCAGGGCCGAGGCCAAGTCCTGGCCAGCCCTGCCCCGTGTTCGGTCGTCCGGGGGCGTGGGTGGGTACAGGAGACCTGAGGGAGACAAGGACCACTGCTAAAATCTAAGCCGTATGTTAACGGATCTCATCCGGGAGTCTCCCCGGTGGTTGGGCCAGTCCCTGTCCCCGCCTGCTGTTCCTGAGGCTGTGACACCCACCAGCATCCTCTCTGGCCATCCCTGTGTCTGTTCTCTGGCTACCCTGCTGCCCGCTCTAGCCCAGCTCCAGCCCATTCACGCCCCTGCCTTGTATACCAGCAGCTCTCTCCACCTACCCTTAACTATACAGGCTGCCCTGCCCTGGGCCTGATGGCCCCTCCCTGGATAGGGACCAGCAGAGAGAGAGAGCCCCCTCCCCGGGGCAGTTCCTTTCAGATGGGCACCGTCTCTACTGGAAGCGGAGGGGCTCCTGTATTTGTGCGGAGATCCAGGCCCTAGCACTCTAGGCTGATCTAAATGGGGCCCAGCCGGGCGGGGTGAAGGCCACTGTGCGAATCTACCTCACAGGCTACACTCTGCTAGGCATGCCATGGGGACGTGAGTGACAGGGCTCTGTGGGGAGGGGCAGGAAGGCCACTCTGTGACACCGCACCCCCAGAGGGTCCCAAGGGGCTGTGGAGAGAGAGGTGGGATCGCTAAGGGATTGGCCCTCCTAGAGAGGACCTCAGCACTCTGCCTTGACCCCCCAGGGAGTGCCTGATGTGTTTGTGTGTATTGGCAGTAGGACACGGGGCTGGCACCCCTTCCGCACCATCCCTTCCTGGGTTCGCCACCAGTGACAGCACCCACCTGTCATGCCCCCCCCCCGGAGAACGCATGGGGATTCCCCGAGCCCATCACCAGACAGGCCATAGTGAAACCCGTGCTGTTCCTCCATGGCTCCATGTGCTTGCTCACGCGTGTGTACGTGTGTGTCCGTTGCCGTGTTGTGAAACTGTGACGTTACCCAGTCCAAGTGAATGGCCATCGAGGCCACCGTTATGCAATGTTCGGTATGTCACTGCTTTTGAAACTCGATGACTCTTTATTTTACTACAATGCCTCAAGAGTCCCCGGCTGCCCCCGTGGGACCGCAAAGGTTTTATTTTTTCGGTCTTAGGACCTACGAGAATTGGAGGGGCCGAGCCACAGCCGTGGCCCTGGCTTGCGTTTGCCTTTAGTGGATATGTTTATACAGATGAATATAAATTCCCTTTACTTTTGGCTTTCTGCATTTTATTTTATTTTTTTTTGTTCTCCCTCTCACCATCTCCCGACTCCCTCCCAAAAAGAAAAAAAAAAAAAGCTACTTCTTCATTCGGTGGTACGATTATTTTTTTTAACTAAAGTGAGATAAAATTCTATATTCTTATGTGTGTGTGGTTTTTGATGGCTGACTGAAGAGTTTGGGGACGGGACGGGGATAAGGTCGCTGGATCTGGGCCGTCATGTCAGGAGCCTGGGGAGGAGCACCCTCCTGGTAAAGAGGCTGGTCCCTTAGCCCCTGTAAGCTACTCCTGTAAGTACTACGTGTATTAAACTCATTTCATCCTTAAAACAGTGCTTGCCGAAGGGGCACTGTTTTATCCCTTTTAAACATTGAGACTAGGGAGGCCTGAAGGGGCACACAGACCAGTTGGGGCAGCAGGATTCCAGCTAGGCCCCGGCCCGTGCTCCATCATAGGGCCACCTGCCTCGAGATTTCACAGAGGCGGGCCGTCAGAATGATGGCCAGAACAGATGCGGTCCGCATCGGTCACCCCAGCTTCCGGGGCTGAGGTAAGGGAAGGGAGAGTTCTCGTGTGGTTGACCTGGGTACCCTGTCTAAAGAAAACAGAACAACTGTTATGGCTACCGAGATTCAGAACCAGTGAGCGTGCCCTCCCCGCCTCCCACCTCCGCTGGCATCCAGACACCCACCATCATCGATGCCCCTGGAGTGTTGGAATGGGACCAGCAGCTTCCTTGTGGGGCCCATAGCATCCCCGTTTCCATCTGCCAGACTGGACTGGGAGCTCCGTGTCTTTCCAGACTTGTGTTAACAGCCTAAGCCAAGTTGGGGAGGTTTCCGATTTGTCTGGGTGCTGCTTCCCCCGTGTGGCCACGAGTGGAACTGCAGCATCAGGTGGCCCATAGTACCGTTGGCTTTCTCGCAAGCTAACCAATGCCTGTGGTACTACCACCCACTGATAAAACATTTCAGGCCAGGTGTCTCCCTTCAGTACCTTTTCATGGGGATCCCTGTAAGTGTCACAGCCAGCAGCAAAATGACCCAGGTGAGGTCAGGACTGAAACTCTGGTCCGCACAACCTAGCCGGTTCGGGGTCCAAATTTCTGGAGTCTGATGCCAAGGGATTTATTTTTCACATATTTAAACACAGCAAAACTTTCAGAAAAAGTTTCCACAACAAAGCTTTCGCACAGCTGCATGGAAACTCCTTTGCCAAGTACGTCTCTTGAAAAACCACCTGTGACCTTTCCCACCAAATGGGTTCTCTGGACTGAGAAACAGTCTGGGGGATTGTATTTGATGGGGGCTGGCTTTACAGAATAGCAAAGATTAATTACCAGGTATTTGCATGTACAGTCACAGCTTTCTGCATGGAAAACAAGTGTCAGTTCCTGCCCCTGAAGAAAGCCTGAATGTTTAGCAATTGTTTTTCTAGTGCTTATGTGTGAGCGTGTCTCTCTATACTCCCACTACGCACTGCCTAACTTGCTAGTGCAATGGTTCTCAACCTTCCTCATGCTGCGGCCCTTTAATACAGTTCCTGCTGTTGTGGTGACCCTCTCCCCCATACACACACCAGAAAACGGTTTTGTTGCTACTTCATAACTAACTTAGCTATTCTTGTGAATCATAATGTGAATCATAATCTGCTCTGCAGGGTGTCTGATAGGCAACCCTCGTGAATGGGTTTTGTTCAACCCCGTGGAGGGGTCGTGAGAACTGCCGTGATGCTGGGAAGGGGAACGAGGTTGACAGGAACCAACCTCCATTCAAGCTGCAGCTGGTCTGGCAGTGAGTGGGCTGTGGAGCCCTCAGGGGCTGACTTTCGGGTGCCAGAGCCTCAGCTGTTGGGGACCGCAGCCTTAGCCTGCCAAGACCCCAGCCACCCCCTCAGAGCCCTGCAGAGGAAGCCAGCTGAGAAAGGAGGCTTCCGGTGACCCAGTTCCCAAGAGAAACTGCTCCAGAAACGATCCCCAGAGCACCATGTGCTGTCACCTTCCTGTAAGGCCAGCACAGGGGAGGTAGTGGCAGGAGGATCAGGAGAGTGACACCAGCCTGGAACCAGGGACCCGGTGGTGAAAGGAGAGAACCAGCTCCACCAAGTAGTTCTCTGACCTCCACATGAACACTATGGCATGTGTGTGCAAAGGTACATACACAAACACATACATGTAATAATAATAAATAATTGCATGTAATTTTAAAGATTTTTTTTTTAAACCCAAACAAATGAAAAACTTCCCCAAACCCCCATCTTCTCATTAATCTCCATTGTTCTCCCATGGGACTTGTTTGTTTTTTGTTTGTTTGTTTGTTTGTTTGTTTTTGACACAAGGTTCACCATATAGCCCTGCCTGACCTGGAAATCTCCATGTAGACCAAGTGTCCTTGAACTCTAGGATCCACCTTCCTCAGCCTCCTGGGATTAAAGGCACGCACCACCATACACACACAGAGACACAAAGACACACCACTGAACTCGCCACTGTCCCTCAGTGATCTGAAGCTTTTCAGTGAACCCCCAAATTCAGGCCACAATTCTTCCCTGTAGTATGTGAGGCAAAACCTCACCAGCTCATCACCTCCCCACTTTGTGAGTCTCATTCTACAGGCAACAGCTGTCAGCAAGTCTGGTGGACGTAGCCAGAAAATCCAGTCCCCTGTCACTAGCATCTGTCCCTTTCTCAGGCTCTCAATCCACCTCCTCCCCCACCCGCCAAAACCTTAGCATTGCTTCTCTAGAGGTCATGGGGCATCATCTGGCCACATCCCACTACACACACACACACACACACACACACACACCTTTTGTGGTTACTTTTCCATTACAGCCTCTGGCCCTGAGATGGCAGGTCCTGAGAGCCACGCTGGGCCCTTGAGGGGTCTGGTTGGATACAATGGAAGGCTGTGACATTCTCAGCATCTCCCACTCATTCTGAACATGGGATTGGCAGAGGAGAAACCTTATTGCCAGAATCCCATCCAGCACCACCCAGAATAGCTCTTATCCCCTACAGAGCTCCAGCCAGAGCCAGCCCTCCAGGGAACACATCGCCCCGGCTAACAGGGAGCCCCCTCTGCACATACAAACATATACATACACATAGCAGGTGCTTAATGGATCTTGCGGTGATATATATATAATCTTGGGATGGTTTTATATATATGTATATTTGTGTACATTTAGCCAGTGGTGCAACTCAAATAAAACACACATCTATAAACAATGAAGTAAACACAGCACTAAACCCTGTCCTACAGTCACGGGAAATCCACACTCCCACCTACGCCCACCCCCACTGGCTCCCTATGGCAGCTTTTGTAATCCTGATTGTCGTGACTAGAAAATCAGACCACCTAGTATCACAGTGTGGGCCAAGGCTAAGGGCATCCTCTGCCCAGCTTACTCCCTGCACCAGAGCCTGGAACCAGAGTGCCAACGCGGCTCCTGCCCACCCCACCAGGTGCTCATGAGAAATGTTTGCCCATAGGCACACTGAGGACACTTTGGCAGTGCCAGAGCCCTGGTACCTTGAAGGGCACAAGAGAACGTTTTTATTTCTTTAAAAATGGAGCCAGTCAGCGGTTAGAAGTATTTGCCGCTTTTGCAGAGGATCCAGGTTTGGTTCCCAGCACCCACGAAGCAGCTCACAGCCAACTATAACTCCAGTTCCAGATCTGCTGTCCTCCTCTTCTGGCCTCCTCCAGCCCCAGGCACACACATGATATCCCGATATACATGTTGGCAAACATATATGTAAAATCATCTTTACGTTTAAAATAATGATAAAGTCAGTAGAAAAATACACAAGCGGAGTTGCAGGCGTCTACAAAAGCAGACAACAGCCCAGAAGCATATTCAGCGCATTCTGCTGGAAGATGGAGGCCGCATGAATTCACTCTGCCTTGGAAACCCCGTGCTTCCAGCCAACCACACTGCCTGCCCAAATTAAACAGTAATTACCAAGGTCAGGAAAAAGCCTTGTCAGGACAGGTTTGTCCCCAGCTTAGCTCAGCCTTGATCACCGTGGCCTCCCCCTCCCCTTCCTCTTCCCCTATATAAATGTCCATCGTGCCTCGGCACCAGCCAGTCCTGAGCACCTGAACCATGTTGAGAATTACAGTCCTCGCTGCCATCCTGGCCTGCGGTAAGCTTGGGAGTGAAGACCAGCCAAATCCAGCTGGCTGGGAGATCAAGCTGGCTTTGGGGTGTCCCCTGTTCCCTGAAGAAGGCACTTTTGGGGTCCTGCGTGGGTTGGGGCACTGAGCAACTGTGTGCCAGCTAAGCTACTTCCAAATGAGTAGGTCCTGGAGAAGGGATGGAGAGCCCCCCCCCCCCGCCCCAGGGTGTGAGGTTCAGACAGGAGGCCCTGAGCACTGCCCACTTGTAGGTGCTTCAACCTCGCTCCACTCCAGGGGGCCACTGGACCTGCCTTTTCTATCTGTGTCTCCCGGTGGAGGGCTCTTTGCTCTCCCATTTTGGTGGCATTCTCTTAGATCGCAAACTGAGGGGCGCAGCAGGGTTTGGTTTGGCTTTGGCAAGGGAAAGCACTTGGTCAGGAATCCCGCTGGGCTCTTTCATTGCAGGAGCAAACCGGACCCTACAAGTACTGGGTCTGTCCAAATCTACATCAGACAGCAGGGGCATGGAGGCTCGGGGATGCTCGGTGCCCTGGCTGAGGGTCACGTGTTGGGTAACAGCCAGAAAGCCGGCTCCATCTGCCTCACCTCAGAGCACACACTCTTAGCCACTTCACACGACTTCCTAGACGTGACAGCGTGGGCCTCTGTGTAGTCCACACTGAGTGCCCTCCATGCATACACTGTACTGTGACCCCACAAAAGGCATCCTCAGTCCTCAAGAGTCCTGGTCACCTGCCTGCTCCGTTTCACTATATGAAGCGTCCCTTCTCCTTCTGGGTAGCTCCTTAAACATGTTCTGTGGCTTAGTTGTCAGGAGACTCCCAGGCCGCTGTTATTCTTCCCACATCACAAAAGAGGGAAACTGAGGCCCAGAGAGCCAAGCGGACTCTCCCCGAGTCACAACGCAGGATATGAACCACCAAGCCTGAGCCTTCCTGTCTCCTCTTGTTGGGGGGGGGGGGAACTCACCTGTACTCCCCTCTCTCCCCA